GGAAGACCGGGTTTTCGCCATTATTTGATCAAAGAAGCTTGTATGCTACGAGTCGGAAAACCCAGAAAATGCAAAAACCCCGCACTCAAATTTCTCCCGTTCCACTGTGACAAACAAAAAAAACCAAGTGCCATATGAGGACTAAGGTGTAGGCTTGAGCGAGAGTTGTGACTTTGATTTGGTTCACAAAGTGTAATATAAGCTGTCGATTGGCCTATGGTTTTATAAAGGTCTGTCGACCATTTTCAGCCCAAGTACGTAGGCAAAATGCAAAAAGAAGCACATGTATAAATCTCAAGATACAAAAGTTCTGTAAAAAGCCAAACAACAACAGCGTATAATATTGAAAACAATGAGAAGATAGAGCTCACCTGATCAATGTATTCTCCAGCGCAGATCATGATCAGGTTATCGAGGAATCCAAAACCGATGAATGGTAAAGAATTCACCAGAAACAGGGACCGTATTTGTCCTTTGCTCATTGGGATGGGCTGCTCCTGAAACCATTCTAAGTTGATTCTCGGAACAGATCAAGCATGACTTCTTCAACATCCTATGTCGAAGAAAAAAATTACATACACCATTAACATCGTTTTCTGATGCCGATAAGCAGCAGCACTTGCACTTTGTTGGAATGCCGGTGCAGATAGGCGATTTCCGCTCATTCGAAAGATTGCGCAAATTGCTCAACAAAACTTCGGTCTGTACTTTGACGACAGACTACGATTAGAGTAAGGTGCAAAGCGTTGGTCCGACGAACGCAAGGAAAGCGAAACGGACAGCATCATGGAAGTTTTACATTTTCGACTTTTTCTACTATACCACATTTCCGAGGCCAAGCAAAGGTGCCCGCGTACTTCCCAGACAAATTCCACAGGGATAGACCGGGAAAATCTGCCTGGGAACGCTTCAACTAGTTGTTTAGATGGCATAAATATAATTCTCTAATGTCGTTTCACAAAAATATTGGGAAAATCTGCCTACAAATACTTTAAGTGATCAAATGGCATAAGTAGTCGAGCCCTTAAAAAGTGGTTCTAAAAAATTCAAGTTTTCCGCAATGTTTAGGATCCCCATCAGCGGAAAAAGCTGAGGGAAACAATGCTGCAAGGAAACTCACTCAGCAATTAGTAGCAATCAACCGTCTTTGAAAAACTATCCGTGACCGAAAAAACTCGAAATCTGTCATTGAAACTTCCAGAAAACTTACGGGACCTCGAAAAAAAAAACAACAAAGGACAATGGCGAAACGGGGACGTATTTAACACATGTAAGTTTGAACAAGAGCACTTGATCCATAACTTCCCAGTGACTATATAGATAACGAGCAAAAAGCAAACAAAGAAAAAAAATGTCACGAAAAATTGCAAACAGTGAAACCCGATTCCATAACACAACAACTTACCGAATCTTGA